GCGCTTTACACTATATTAGTGTCATTAACACTGAGACATTAGGCTGCTGTCCTCTGAAACGAGCTCAGCTGAAAATCAGTGCTGACAGTAGGAACACATACCCCCTGGCAACGAAAGGGTTAATGTCAAGATAGACAAGGAAGTACAAAGTACGTCAGATGGGAGTTCTACGAGCCACTGACATATTTTTTATTCCGTACATGGCCAATCTCGTGTACTGTAAGTCCTCCTCCGCCTCCTCCTTCTTCTCCTCCTGCTGTCCATCAAAAAAAGCAAAAAAACAACGAAATTAGATTCACAAAACTAGCATTGAGTCAAATTTAGTATGAACATCTTACACGCACGCGCGCACACCGCACACACACACACACACACACACACACACACACACCACACTATACAAGGCTTGTCGACCGGCACTCCTTGACCTTGGCTAGGTATTTTGATCAATGGTGATGCTCTAAACCTGTCACACCCCCAGTCTGTCGCACGTGACGAAACCCCCGATCACTACATGGACCGATCGCAGGCGCCGGTCGCGTGTGACTAAACGTCATGTCGCGTGTAAGGAGACGGTTTCTTTAAAATCTTACTTGATTGACTTTAGAGCGGCAAGGACCACATGCGACGCGCGTCGCATCGCACATAAAGAGACAAGCTCTTAGTTGGACCCCTTGCCTTTAAAGCAGCCACATTCCAGTTTCGAAGATATTCTTTGTTTTTATACTGACTAGAGTCATTTCTGTTTCGGCAGAAATTCATTTTGAATTTTGTCCGGGTGGCAGCTGAAGGCTACTCTAATTGATTTAAGGAATTGATATGAAATCTTTAAGTCACCTGCAGAACCGTCAAAGGAACTGTGCCACCTCAGCCTGTTGGCAAAACATTTGGCACCACCACATATCTGCCTGATGGCTAAAAGGTTGACGGGCGCCCATAAGAGTTTTGTTGTGATTTATCTCAATTCTTCATGAGAGGTCTGAGGCTGTCCGAGTACTGACGAGGATTGCGTAAAATGATGCCCTAAAAATCGTACGTCTTTAGGGTCTTTAACACCTATTATAGCTTAGCATACGATCTGGCAGAAATTTTAAAATCTGAGTTTATTTTAAGTTCAGCTGGAGCTGTACATGTATAACTTGGTTGTTACAGGTTTTTCCCCTGCGCACTGCAATTGTGCAAGACAATCTAGATGAGTCAAGATTGCCTACAGTCTATCTCTAGTCTTTACCAGTCTACTATGGGCAAGTTGATAATCAGTGCTATCTTGTTATACCGCCAACTTCATGCTTGTCCCTAGGTAGGTGGTATAACGGGGTTTGACTGAACTTGTAGTAGAAAGAGTCAAGAGAAAAGAAAAGAGCTTGGAGCCTGGTTAGGGAAGAGGGGGGGAGGGAAAGTGGAGATGAAAGCAAAAATGATAGAACAAGTCAGCAGAACAGGAAAGGCAGGGAAAAGAGAAAATTATAGGGAAGAAAGGTTTGGAACCCAGGATCTATTGAATGAGAGGGAAACACCACACCTCTAAATCAGGAGAGTGCCCTGTATACATCTCTTCAAAATCAGAAACACATGAAAACAAATCCCACCTGTTCCACAAACAACATTCACTCCAGTGCTCTGAGAGATATGCTTCAATGTGGCCAAATCTCGATAGATTCCAAGGGATGTATTTTCTACAATAGTGTTGCCCCCATTCTCCTGGAGACATAAAAGCATTCTTTTAGTGTGTGTGTGTGTGCCTGCATCACGCTTTGCGTGCGTGCGTGTGTGTGTGTGTGTGTGTGTTGTGTGTGTGTGACTGTGTGTGTGTGTGTGTGTGTGACTGTGTGTGTGTGTGTGTGTGTGACTGTGTGTGTGTGTGTGTGTGTGTGTGTGTGTGTGTGTGTGCCTGTGCATGCATCGTGCTTTGTGTGTGTGTGTGTGTACGTGTGCATGCGTCTGTGTGTATGGTTCACATCTACTCAATTTCGAATCCTTTTCTTTTAATGTTTGTACTAAAATCACTGCAGAATTAGTAAATAAGACTCCCGAGTACTTCGTTCATAGAATATAGTTTTACAACTCATATATGCGCTATGAGTTTAACTTGAAATAACCGATATTATATGAATTTATACACATTCAATAAGAAACAAAAAAGGAAAAGAAAAATAGCAGTAGTTAATGATCAAAACAAAGTGTAAAAATGCAAAACCAACATAATTCTTTACCACAATCAATGAAAAAATAAAATCATATTAGAATTGCACTAAAGAATTACCGTGTCTGTGTTGATTGCATTCATGACCAATTGCTACTACAACATAAAAGAACTTGTCACCTTGAAAAACAGAAGTTCTTCTATTACAGCCTCACTTTCCCCATACAGTGAAAGGTTCGGCCAGTGGCTGTATCTGAAGAAATCAAAACAAAAGAAAAAAAAAATGAAGATGGTAATGAAAGATGAACAATGCAAGTTTTGGCATTTACCGTACTTCAATGGCAATAATCAGTTCTGTACAGCAAGCATGACTATGTTGGGATGACATAGGCTTACTATCATTTGAAAGAAAGAATAGAACAAACATATTCTATCACTAACTTTTTGTCACTGAAAAATGTTGGCATACAGCATAACATGACAGATGCCACTGGCCAAAGCAGAATAGAATGAGTTTTGAAATCAGTCATTATGAAGTTAATAGTTCATAGAATATCAACATCATAGATCCCCACCCCACCCCATTCCATCCTCCCACTCCACTAATTAAAGCTTAATTTTTCTCCACATACATATATATGTACTAGAATTGCACAAAATACCCAAGAAAATAATCTGAATTTCCAGGAAAATTACAAATAAAACCTTAAATAAAAAATTTCACTTTGTACAAATACTGAAAGAAAAATAAAGATTGACTCCAACATATCAGTAACAGTTCTTGTAAGCAAAATATAACCATACGTATAGACTGGCGTCTGTGGGGTAAGGGAGGCATTTAAGCCGCATTTTATTTGCTGTCTCACGCATGAGAGTCCAGCTCCATTCCCGAGTGGGGAGAAATTTTTATTGAGTACATGTATCTCTGTCTTTCTGCTGCGACATTGTATCCCTCTCATAGCCTTTGACAACCAGGGTCTGTAGCCCGCCTCCTAATTAATCTAAAATTGTATCAATGGGGGCATTGTACGATACACATGAAGAAAAAAAAATCATTACAGTCAAACCTGTGTAAGACGGCCACCCATTGTCAAGGAGAAAAGTGTCCGTATAAGACAGGTGGCTGTCTTAGGCAGGACTGATCAAGATGAAGAAAACAAACCCCATTCCCGATCGAAAGTAGCCGCATTATTGTTGTTTTTTGTTGTTGTTGTTGGTTTGTATTTTGTTTGTTATTTTCATTTTGTTGCTGATTTTGTGCAAGAGTGACAATAAAATGAAATGTGTCAGACAAGGAAGACCGAGTGCTATTGTAAAACAAACATATGGATCGCCACCACTCGAAGAACAAGCGACGCTTCTGTCACAAGTCCATGTTGACGTCCATTGTTAATTTGTTACAGACTGGGTAAACGGTGACCACTCATCTCACTTACGATTTGTGTATGAGTTCTGGGCGGGGCTTATGGGTTATGAAGAATCACACTCTAACCTCACCAGCAGCTGGAAATTGGTACCTATTGGTCAACAGTGGGAGGGGCCTACGCAACATGATCGGATGGAGCGACTACCTAACAACAACGACAGGTGATTAGATTATGAAGGCTCGTCCACAACGCCAGGGGTCAATGCACAATTAATGACAAAACGTAATGGAGTCACAAAGGTATTGCTTAGTGTGATAGGGGTTGTGTGTTAAAATATGGTGGCCGCGGGCGTTGGACAGGTGCCCGTTTTACACAGTTAAACTATATAGAAAAAACGCAAGGGGGGAAATGGAAAGTGGCCGTTTGTACAGGTGACCGTCTTATAGAGGTGGCCGCCCGGGCAGGTTCAACTGTACATAGTACTGAGAGTAAATAAAGACAAACATCTCAGAAAGAAAAGAGATAATATCAATATCAGTTTTTAACAGTTAATGGTTCATCTTAGGAATAGTTTACCTACTACCTTAAAAATCAAACTTTAATGATCAAATCATTTATCCCAATACAGAATACAATCCTTAAAAGTATACACCAGAAGAAAACCACCAACAGTCGGGCACGGAAGTCAAACACATGAAATTGGACATCCATAATTCAGATAAACTGAAAGCAACAAAATTAAAGAGATATCAGTCCAGAAATGTTATTGTGCATTAAGCTATCCATGATTTTGAGTTTTCAGTGTCCATATTATCTGCGCTGCCACTGTATTATAACAGAAGGTAAAGCCTACGGTACCATTATAGCGCTGTAAAACTGATCAAAACGCCATCCAAACTTTGAAAAAAGCAAGAAAAATTACATTTCTTTCGCTTCCTGAACTTCATGACATGAGTATATATGGAGAAATGAAATTATATCTTACGGATTCTGTCGTATCCATCCTAAATTTTTCATCTCAAAAGGAGCATGGATGTACCCTTCAGCCTGCTTATTTTTTGGTTCCGTATAGAAACTTGGGACTTTGAGGTAAAGATGCTCATGGGGAAGGGTAACACCAGCCTGAGACGGCTCAATGACACCTTGAACTGAAGAAATAAAAAAAGAATTAGAAATAAGCATGCATGCTTCAGTCTGAATTTTAATTAGCTGGTAAATAGAGACCAAGTTTTAAAAAGATGAGGGCAGGGTGGCGGTGTTGCTTCTCTCTCCCCTCAAAAAAGCTATTTAAAAACGTCATAAACCTGGTGGCTAGGCCTGCATTTAACATCATCTTATTATATTGCATCATCACCATTTGTCATTATCAGCAGCGGTATATCTCGCTGCACTGGGACCCATGCACTGGTGCTGCACAATAAACATTGGACTAGGCCCTCTGCGGAACTCCTCCCGGTGTATGACAAGGATAACAATTATAGAATCTTCTATGATAAAATAAATAAAACAAATGCAAATGCATGTCGAGTTAAACACAATATACTACACCTTTCCCAGATCAAATATCAAAATAGAGAGCTCAAATACAGCATTGAAAGCTCAAATATCAAAATAGTCAAATTAATTCAACATAGAGAGTTCAAATTCGAACAATGAAAAACGTAAGCAAATATCAGCTCAAATATAATCACAGCGGAGAGCTCAAATGCAAACATAAGGGAAATCAAAGTCCATTCAAGTGCAGCATAGGAAAGTTCAAATTCAACAATCCGAAAAACTATGAAGCTATGATGTAACCATCATCTCCAAGTCAATAGAAGTTACTCGGTCTCTTAGCAACGTTCGTTGTTTACTGTTCACATCTCTCGCATTCAATACTCACCGTCTGCTCTCTAGATCTAGACCTACACCTCTACCCAATCAAATATCAAATAGCGAGTTCAAATTCAGCAATGAAAGTTTAAATAACTGTCTCTCAGCTACATTCGCTGTTTATTTACTGTTCTCGTCTCTCTCCGTCAGCTGTCAAGATCTAGTCGTACCTAACTTTGTCGAATGCCTTAGGCACAACAAGATCATCGACATGCTGGAAGTCCTCAATATTGACGGGAAGGACTTAAGGATTATCAAGAACATGTACTGGGATCAAACTGCTGCAATGAGAATAGAAAACGACATCATCGAACACATATTAAGCATGCCTGACCAAAAACCAAATTAATACAAAGAGTCAGTCTCGAGGATAAACAGAGAATACCGGTATACGAGAAGCCTTTCTGCGAGGTGACGATTACATTATGCTCACAGTTGCATATAAACTGAAACAGTACCATACGCCAAAACACTGCATACAGTACAGTAGGCTGAGCGATCGAAACTGACAACGTTGTTGAAAAGAAATTTGAGAAAGTAACCAAGGAAATAAAAGATGCTCTAGTTTCCATAGTCGAAGACACCCAGATTACACTTTCAACAAAATAAAAACAGGTCTTTGAATGGCCGTGCCATACACATCTCGCATAGGCCTATGTCGCTGCGACTACTTTGAACAGATTTTCAGAGAGAGAGAGAGAGAGAGAGAGAGACAGAGAGACAAAGACACAGAGAGACAAAGAGACAGAGAGGGGAGGGAGGGAGATCTCGACGAAAGATAGGAGGGTGGGGGTGATTGAAGATAGATACAGAGAGAAATAAAGAGAGAGAGAGAGAGAGAGAGAGAGAGAGAGAGAGAGAGAGAGAGAGAGAGAGAGAGAGAGAGAGAGAGAGAGAGATAGAGGGAAAGAGGGAGGGACTGATCGAGATAAAGAGAGAGAGAGACAGAGACAGAGACAGAGACAGAGACAGAGAGAGAGGGGGGAGGGAGGGAGGGAGAGGGAGGGTGGTTGAAGATAGATATACAGAGAAAGAGATACAGAGAGAGAAAGAGGGAGGGACAGAGATAAAGAGAGAGAGGGAGGGAGGGAGAGAGTGAGAGTGAGAGAGAGAGAGAGAGAGAGAGAGAGAGAGAGAGAGAGAGAGAGAGAGAGAGAGAGAGAGAGAGAGAGAGAGAGAGAGAGAGAGAGAGAGAGAGAGACTATGTCAAACAACTATTGCAGTTTATAAATGAGTGTTGAATTTGAACTGACAAATATTGAATTTGAACTGACAATGTTGAATTTGAACTGTTTAAATTGTTACAATTGATAGCACTATTTTGACATTTCGTTTGAGCTTCCTGTGTTACATTTGCTCTCTCTATTTTGTTGTTTGAACATATATATGTGGAATTTGATTTGACTATGTTGAAAAAAAAATGTATACACAAAGCTGCAGCGAGCACCTAGCACACCTCTGTGATTGGCCCAAATATAAATGACGTATTTCCGCAATCTATATTTGTCATCTTCCCAAGACTCTTGGGTTTCCCTCGCCGGTAACTGACTAGATCTCACCGTGTTTGGGTTGGGGGGGTTTTTGTATTAATTTATATTATCTTTTATAAACAATCTCAGCAATTTTCGTACCATAAATCTACCTTCTCCTCAAAGTTGCACACACACACACACACACACACACACACACACATACACACACTCACATGCACACACACGCACACACACATGCACACACAGACACGTGTGCACACACAAGCGCATGCACACACACACGCATACATACACACATAAGTCGAACCTGCCTTAATGGAAACCTGTGTAAAATGGAAACCTGTCTTAACGGAATCTCCCTGCTCCCCCCTTGATATAGTCCTCTTTAATTACCTGTAGATCTTATAAAACGGAAACCTGTCCAACACGGAAACTGAAAGAAAAATCCACTCCCTTCCGAGGGTTTCACCTGTCTAAGACAGAAAATGCTTTGCCCGCTCAGCCCTGATTTGACACAATACTCCCAAGTTTGGTTTGACCAGCTCTAAACTTAATGCCATGGCAATGCTGCTGGGCAAGGAAGGGGAGTAGGGGAGCAATTTGAGGGTAGATGTTACCCTAGGCCCACAGAGCAGTTGGCTCAGATGTTACCCCATCATGTGAGCCCTGAACCATGCAGCTGGTCAGGGAGGTGTGGGTGTGAAATCTCATGACTGCTCGTGAGAGTGCTCGAGTAGCAAGCCTCAATGGAAACTTTCCTGGCTAGCCAGAAGCCAGAGGTGTGAAATTAGATTGACCAATGCCTGCCGCCCTGATCGTACAGCCAGCAGAGAAAAGAGTTCCTTGAATTGTTATTACACGATGGCAGTGAGGGGTGGCATTGGTTGACTCTATTTGTTACACTGGTGGGTGGGGCTAAGGGTGGAAGCAAAGGAGATGTCAAACATTTCTATTTTTAATAGGTCAAACAGTGGTCCTATGAAAGGCAAGGTGGTAATTGGACAAGTGAGACTGACGCATGTCATTATCAGACAGGATGGCAATTAAGAGGTGTGAAGTTTTGACCACTGCTTGCTGATCGGACAAGTGACCCTCTGACCCTTGAACCACCGGCTGGGCCTTTGAACCCCCTCCCCCCTTCCATCTCCCCCTAAATTCCCCTGTCGAAGACGGAAAATGTCTAAGATGGAGTTTTATTCTGGCTCCCTTGCGATTGCGTCTTACACAGGTTCGACTGTACACACCTTGGAGTAACTATTAATAGGAGAAGGCGCGAGTCGCGTAACGTGAAGCCACAGCAGACCACGGTCGGCCATGATTGTGAGATCAGCTCAGTTGTATACTTCGTGTCGACCAAATGGCAGTTTGCGCAGCATTCGAGATGGGTGCCGTAAAACACTTAGGCCTACGAAAAATATTTTTTAATTTATCAGTCTCTAGCAAAGGCACTGAACTTGAAGATGAAGTACCTTCTGTTTCAGCCATAAATGCATCTCACAGTAAAAACTGAATGAAAGAGACTGAAGATAATTCAGTTTGCCGTATGATAACTGCACGTATGTGCCTAGTCAGGCATACTTGTCAATTTGTTCACAGAATATTGTTGTTTACATTGCTAGTTTTGTGGTGTTAAGGTTGACAAAGCATTTGAAAATGTGAAACCTGCATCGGTGCCTTAGTTGACTCCAGTGTGTCAAATGTAACTTCCTTGCTGTCAAGGAGGTTTGACAGTGTCACAGTGTCATTGTAGTGTGTTTGGTGTGTGAAAAACATTTTCGATGCCATATGTCATCTGCCTGTGGGCAGGGGGTTTGACACTGTCAAATGTCACAAATTAGTGTAATCTGTTTTGAAATTCCTCTTACATATAAGCCTATACATTTTCACCATCATACCAGAAACTCTCTGATCATACTTCACTCTCGTCTGCCTTGCCCTCTCCTTCCTCATTCTTCGCCTATCCCATCCCACCCTCACTGACCATCTTTTGTGGAATCATTTTCAATATTGTTAGAAATATATTTCGTTCTATTTTTAAGTCAAGAAGTCTACGTTTTTGTAAAAATAATGTCAGTGATGACATCATTTTGCACTGATGAAGTTCTATGACCGAAAATTCAGCAAATTTTGTTATCCCGTTTATATTTTTGTTTTGATCCTTACCATCCCAATTTCTTCTCTAAAACATGTCATGTAGAGGGCTCTCGTGGCCTAGAGGTGAAGGTGTTGGCCTCTCATTCAAAGAAAAATTTTCTGCTCTAAAATTGTCTCCTTTCACCTCCTTTCCTGCTCTCTAGCAATGTTCTGTTGTCTGCTTTCATTTCCACTTTCTGCCCCCACCCCCTCACCACCTTTGCCCCCTCCTCTGGGCTCCCGACTCTTTCTGCAGCCTTTCTACAGCTACTCCTTGGCTCCTCGACCCTTACTGCTGTCTTTCTGCCACACCCCTGATCTTCTAGTAGGAAAGATCTACACCTAGCCTTCTCGGACAAGGGCGAAAAATATCCGAGGGCCCGTGTGCAAATTGCGCACGTTAAAGATCCCTTGGCGGTCTAAAATCGATAAGAGTAGGCTTCGGCCGCCACCCGGGCAAAATTCAAAATTTCCTACCAAGTGAAAATATTAGGTGTGTCCTGTGCGCTCATATGACCTTATATATTATGCAGTTGCGAGCGCCGAAAAACACTTTACAAAAACAAACAAACAATAAAACATGTAAAAAAAATTGTCTTACCATCACAATGTGTATACATAGTACATGTGATACTGTAAATATTCGAATAAGTGAGCTGGTAATTTGATGCATGTAAGATTTCTTTCCATCCTTATTATATTATTACTGTACGTGAGTGCTTATAATGCTGTAATTAACCTTGACAAAGAAATTTCGAGAGACAATGGAGTCCAAGCAGCTTGTTTTTTAAAGAGATTAACGCCGCGTAAGCTAGTGTTGGGCTTTAGTCGATATCGATATCGGGTACTCATCGATACTGGTTTTCTTAGTCGATACTCGATATCGCAGAGTCCTTTAGTTGATACTGAACAGTGTAATGAGTGTAGTGTTTGCCGCCTAATCTGCGTGATATCAGAGAGAAACGTGCTGTCTATGATCATCCGTCTTTTGTTTCTAAATAGGCTTAGTCATGTTGAGAAAGAAGAAGAGCATTGTTTGGACGCATTTTGAAGAGCTTCCAGGAAACAAAGAGGCCAGGTGCCTTGTTTGTCACGACATATTAAAGCATCATGGGAACAGCACAAATCTCATGAAACATCTCCAAGCCAAACATCCAAGCAAAAATGCTGCACTTGACAAGGAGAAGGGCGGTAGCAGCAGCGGTAGTTGCAGTGCAGGACCTGCAAAGCAGATGAAGCTATCAGATTGCACGCGTTCAGAGCCTTACCCGCCTTCACACTTCAAGAACAAACTTCTCGATGACAAGGTAGTCAAAATGATTTGCATTTTAAAAAACAAAAACAATAAACAAAAATAACAATAACAAACAAAAAATTGCATCTTACAACTGGGTACACAGGCAGTAGGGCCTGGTAAGCCGAATGACTGACACCGTTACCTTTGACCTTTCATCTATTAAAGCGCTTCAAAAGGAAACAATACGGTGAGCGCTATTTTTTTAGCCTTTTGTGACGTCACAGTATCGATATCGAGTATCGATCGATACTGGGAACGCGGGTACCCGATACTACCCGATACTAGCTAATATCGATTAACGCCTAACACTAGCGTAAGCTGCATATATTGTTTTGAACTTACAAAGATGGCGGCAGCCCCGATAAGCTCCGCCCCTTCGGCTTCAATTGGCTTGGAACTGTTAAGCAGGCGACGCAACGTTATAAGGGCCTCTCCCTATAGTTACTCCAAAGTACACACACACACACAAGCGTGCGCCCACACACAGCCCACACAGTCAGCGATGAAACCTAGTGATGTAGCCCATCACGCCAACTGGCGAGGGGAGTCCCGGAATACGACAAAAATAGATGGCGATAATACATCAGTCATCTATATTTGGGCACACACACACACACATACACACACTACCGGGTCTGGGCACTGAAACTTTCTGATATCACAAAAGATTTCCCCTACTGGGTCTGTATACTTCGTGACTTTGCTCCCGCTAACCGGGCCTGTATACACTTCGAAACTTAAAATATGACATTACAAACTGAATAAAGTATAAAGGCTCAATTCTCACCTGTCATTATCTTTCCTTTACACCCAGCCATGATTAGATCACTTGCAACAGCTGTAGCATGCAGACTTTCTAGATCTAATGCAGACCCAGATTCTCTATACACGCAAATAAAAGTAGATCAAGATAAGCTGATGAGCGTGACGGACGAGTGACAAGACAATAGGTAGATCTAGGCTAGAAGATTCTTGCCGACAAAAGGCCAGCACAGCAGCGAAGTCTTGCTGCGGCGGGCTGGCCTTGTGTCAAGTCAAGATCAGAGAGTTTTACACTTTTATAGAGAAAAATCCCTTCATCCGAATGCGCGTATCTGGCTCATCAGCTGATAGAGGCTTTAAGCGCGGTAAACAATACAAACTGTGTTCATTGTTCAGGACATTTTCGTTGATCACTGACAAGCATGGCTGCAGTTAGCTCGCAGTGTTTAGGCCTAGTGTTCGGTAAGATTGAAGAATACCAGAGCAGCGGACCGACTTTGCCTCTATGTCCTTTGTCTCAACCTTACGAATTCATGATTTTCCCCAGTTTTTAATATCTCTCAATGGAGAATCTCCGACCGGTAGATCTATTCATTACAATTTTATCAGGGGGGAGACCCCCCTGAACCCCCACCCCCTCCTCTACCCCAACCACCCTCCCCATCCACCCCATTCTCGAGCAATAATGTATACGAGTGGTCCGGTATTCTTCAATCTTCCCTAGTGTTCTTCGGTAAACTGCATCAATTCAAGAAATTTTAATAACAATCCAAATTTGAGTTTCTTGAAATTTCCTTTCCAAAAGGATAACGAAAAAAGGTTACTGCCTTTAAGTAAAAATGTACTTTCACGAAAATAAGAAAACAGGAGTAAAAACAACGACAACGTTATTGTAGACCAGCTGGCACTCTATGCGTAAACTCAACGCACTTCAGCTTTGTTATATCAATCTTTACACTAAAACTGTTAAAGGTTAAAGGTTAATTACAGCATTATAAGAACTCACGTACAGTAATAATAATTATGATAAGGATGGAAAGAAATCTTACTTGCTTCAAATTACCAGCTCATAAATATATCCAGGAAGCATCCAACACTTCTCCTGGTCCTGACGGAGTGTGTTATAGCCATATGAAGAACATGGAGGAAGGACAGACAATGGCACTAGCCGAGAGGCTAAACGAAAGTCTGTGGACTGGGGAGATACCTGAAGACTGGCTGGACAATCACCTGTCCCCAGTTCCTAAGCCAGACAAGGACCCAAGCAAGATTGCCTCATATCGCATAGTGACCATGCAAAATACCGTCGAGAAGCTGCTGGAGAAAATTGTGGTACGCAGATTGGCAATAGAGCTGGAGGAAAAGAACGTCCTACCGCCGGAACTGGGCAGCTATAGAAGAGGAAAGATCACATGGATGAATGCTGCCACTCTTGCATCCGACGTATATGATGGCTTCGAACGGGGGGGGGGGGGGGGGGGGGACTCTGGTAGCAGCATTTGACCTGGAAGATGCCTACAACCGAGTTCAGTACGACACCCTCATGAGGACTCTAGTCAACCTGAGGGTAGATCCATATTAAGTGCAATAGATTGGGGTAGCGCTGCTCAAACGAAAGGAAGCCCTACGTCTTGGTTGCTGAGCTTCGCAACCTACCGAGATCACACCAGGCTTACCACAGGGATCTGCACTCTCGCCGGTTCTGTTCAACGTTTATACAATAGGGATAACATCCAACCAGCTGGAGGGGCCCGGACGTGTACTCAGTTTTGCTAATGATGTGCTGGTGTACAGGCAGGGCAAGAACCGCAAGGTTACAGCGGAGAGAGTACAGGAAGAACTCGACATACTTGAACAGTGGTGTGAAGCGTACAACTGGAAACTGCACCCAGACAAATCCTGTGCACTGTGGTGTACACTGAATAACCATGCAGTGCACTATGACATGCCAAGTATCTCGATTGGAGGCAAAGTGCTGAAGAGGGAACCCACACTGAAGTACTTGGGCATCACGTTTGATCGCACCCTCTCTGGCAAAGATCAGATCACGAGAACAATCTCCAGGGCGAGAAAATGCCTAACAGCCCTTAAGATGATGACCAGAGCTAAGATGAGCCAGAAAAATCCTTGTCATCCTCTACCAGACACTGGTACTCTCTTACGGGCTCGGACTCTTGACCCTATCAAAGGCGCAACTGCAACGACTCGAGGTGTTACAAAATGAAGGAATGGGGGCAATCCTGGGGTGCACACGAGATACCTCAACTGAAGCAATGAGATACTTCCTAGACTTCCCATGTGCAAACGAGAGGCACAAAGTCCAAGCCTTTCTGCGAGACTGCGCAGACGAGACGAACCCTCTACATAAGAAAGTGGGACGGCATATGACATCAATGCTAAAGAGGGGCACAGAATTGATGACTCAAGCCACGAACACCATCAACGAGTGCTGTCAGATACAAGACATCAGGAGAGGCAGGGATTGGGTTGTGGTCGAAGATGTGCTCGGAGGGTACACAACAGTGAAGGCAACATTGGGTATAGAATGTCGCAACTGGCCACTTGGAGCTTCAAACGCTGAAATTGAAACCCTGATAGAAGAGCATAGCGAACATGGAGATGCTGTGATCTTCACGTATGGATCAGTCAACAGAGGAATCAAATCGGGCCGGGCCTTCAGTGTCAGAGTTGATGGGGTAGTAGCGAAAGAGCAAAGTTGAGCAACTGCACTGACAAAATCAAGTATGTGTATGGAGATAAAAGCCATAAGTGAAGCTCTACACTGGATCAAGAACACAAACCACCAGCGAGCAGTAATCATTACTGACCCAATGAGCACACTTACAGAAGGTACAGAAAGGGATGCTGTATGCGGACTGGAAGGCTATGATCAGGGAGAGCAGCCTGGAAAGAATGGCCTGGATCTTCTGCCCGGGCCACGCGGGGGTAACCGGCAACGAGAGAGCAGACAAGCTGGCTGGAGAAGCAAAAGTGGGAGGGAATTTGACACTGGACCCACCAACCGTCCTAACCGCTGAAAGGGAAACTTTGAGGAAGAATAGGGCGGATAGCGGTTCCCACACCCTAGGTAGATTGAAGGAGAAGGGGATCCAAAAAGGAGAGGGGAAACACAGCCATTTGTGCGGACCAGTCCGACGGATCTCCAACCAGATTATGATGGAGACTATAAGCAGACAGACTCTGGGATGGATCCTGAAGAGGGGAGAGCATAGATGGACATGTTCCGACTGCAGTGCCCCCAACACAGTGGACAAGTACGACAAGTAAGCATATCAGTCTTTATGCAATCAATTGCCATTATAGGAGGTATAAAGGTTCATTTAGCATGAGATCCACTTGCACCTACTGCCGCAAGCGAAATCCTTAAAATTGAACCCCTGGGAATCCGCAGGGATAAATTGCAGTTTTGGAGCTACGCGAAAGAGCCAAAAGAATGTGCCCCAACCTCCCAAACAGGAAATTGGTTGAAATGTGGAAACCACAGGAACGAATTCAACAAAAATCAGTCGCATCCCAAAACTAATGGAGAGCCATAATCTACCACAACAGAAAAGAAACCAAAATTAAGAGTCAACCAAAACATCCCTCCTCACATTTCTTTGAAAAAGCCGATCATTACAACATCTCTCAGAGACAATAGCTCAAAAGCTTCAGACCCAGTGACCCTGCTGCTTGCATCGCACGAAACAATTGACATACTAACAGATGACTGGATACACACGTCTATACAGATGGCTCAGCATTCAAATTAAGACACAAGCTGGATATGGAATAATAATACAATACCCAAATGGCGGGATCTCTCTTGCAGCCTGTGGAGAGAAATGCAGCAACTATGATGTAGAAATTATGGCAATTGAAACAGCATGAGCGCACTGTACCATCTCTGCACAGTTTTTGACACTCATCCGAACTGAGCACATAGTATTGTAATTTTCATTGATTCAATATCAGTCTTGCAAGCAGTAGAAAATGGCCATAATCTAAATCAAGATTTGACATATATAAATATACTGTTTGGCTCCCATCATCTGATAACATCCTGTGACATCAATCTGGTGATTCAGTAGGTCCCTGTACACTTAAACATACATGGAAATGACAGAGTAGACACACTTACCAATAGGGGATGTAGACAGGAATAACACAACATTCCAACTTCATACAACACTTCAAAACAAATCATTAAAAGCAACAAGCAAGATTAAATGAACAGATGGGCCTTGGAAGAGACAGGCAAAGCAGTTTTCAAACATAATAAATTGACCACAACAAAACGAAATGACAATATTAACGACATACAGAGAAATATTAAACGAACTACTATCTTCCATCTGCGAACAGAGCATAATATAATAATAATATAATATATTATGTATATAAAGAGGCCTGTATGTGGATCATCACCTGTTCCACTACACAGCCCTAAATGACACCAGAGCCACACTTCTCCCTCCGAGACCTAACATTGACAGCACACATGGAACCTGTACAGCAACTGGAGCAAACATTTTTTATGCACTTATCACTACATGGCATTGGATAGAAGGGATAGAGCCCAGCTGATACTGGATCAATAATAACAACAACTACTGGTGAAAGATTGTGTTGCCTGCGAAAAGTTGTCTTAATACAAGGAGCCATAGGCATCGGTTGGTTTAGTACTTTCTTTTCTTGTTCCGATTACCACTTTTTGTTTCATGGTTTTTTTTGGTACTTTGTTTGCAGTGACTGTTAAAATTATTTTTAACAAATATTTATTTATTTAGGTGTTTTTTTCGGGGTTTTTGTGTGTTTTTTGGGGGTTTGTTTGTTGTTGTTGTTGTTGTTGTTTTTTTGTTT